AATAAATATTTTTTTTTTAAAACAATATGGTGTATCTTAATTACTATAGTAAATGATTATATTAAACAGAAAATATTTATTCATTTTAAAACAAAGTAAATCAACAATTTCTATGTATTTAGAAAAATAATTCATAAATACAGATACAAATGTATAATTTATGTAATTGGATTCAGGATTTAGAGCCAAAACTAAAAAAAAAAAAAATAGAATAGATAAGTTATTTTGATTACACAAATAAAATGACGCATCAAGGAGGTGAGTCTTGTATTGTTAATCTGATGTGGGGCTATAGGCCCAGAGCCCGTTGTTCATAGTGCCTACCCCACTTTCCATTTATAAATATTGGGTATTCTGAGATATATTTTTGTATAATGTATAATTTGCATTTTATATCAAAACTATCTTGTGTGTGGATAGACCAAATAATGGACATTAATTCAATACTAAACTATCAAAGGAAATAAACACATTAGTTATCAATAATTTTACTAGAGTATGAACAAATTTCCGTAGTGCAAATTTTTGCAGAATTTGGGTAAGGTCATAACCAATAAAAAATATTAACACTTAACATGTCCACTACCCTAGATAATTTAATAAAAATAAATGAACATTGAACATACTTTATATTATCTACTCTAGATCAGTGGTCTTCAACCGGTGGGTCGCGTAAGACTTAAAATTGGGTCGTGACAAGTCTTTTTTTTAAATAAAAATTAAATTTATAAAATTATATAAAGTAAAAAAATAATAATGATATTATTATTTTTATTATTTTTACTTTTTTTATTTTATATATAAAGTATAATGTTTCATATTACACTGGTATGATTTTACATAAGCAATTTGTTCTTTTTTATCAGGCTTACGTGGGTCACGAAAAATAAAGGCCTAAAAAATGGGTTGAGAGTCCAAAAAGGTCCACTACTCTAGATTACAACATATTTTTAGGACTATGGATGTTTTAAAAAACTATTCATTTTTACACTTTTTTTTGAAATTATGTTAATTTTTAATTAATATTTTATGATATAAAAATCTTTTAATATTACATAAAAATGACATTATCATATTAAAAAAAAATTTTCAATTTGCTAATTTAGGTCAATAAAAACTCCATAGCCCTAATTATGGAAAATAATAAATCAATAACTTATTAATAATTATTTAAACATACAATTAACTAATAATGTGACAAACAAATTTTACAAATGTAGAAGTAAATGGTCTTGATGCTGCGCTGTTTTTTTTTTTTTATCTGAATGCAAAAAAAAAAAACATTAAATTATTTATAGAAATGATTTATTCTATAAACAAAAAAAAAATCATTTATTCATACGTATTAAGTTATTAGGTGACATGTCCAATGCTGTGACTAAAAAAAATAACAAATTGTATCTGTTCATCCAATCTTGTTATATGTATATGTTACGGGCAAAACGCGAATTGCCCACAATCCTTGGGCAAAATGTCATATTTCGGCTTTTGACCGGGCAAACCTAGTTATGACTAACATCATTTGGGCAAAACCGCCAAAACCTAACCAATTAATACATTTAAACCTCAAAACCGTATACTGACTTTTATCGTAAGGGTAAAACCGTACCTAGTGTATTAAATACGTTCGCTAATATTTAATACAAATAGTAATTTTTATCGATTATTACGATTATAGATGTCCACGCGTATCTTGTTAATTTATCGCTGTTATTGTATTTTATCAACTCGTTATATTAAGGGTACACAAAATACACCTTATCTAAATGGTACAAAATTGTACTGTAGTTCGTATTTTTGTGAGCTTATATTAGTACGTCTTTAGCAATGACTAATGAAATGTGTGTATCTGATTTTAAAACTAAATTTGAATTAAAACTTAAAGAAATTACAAAAAGTGAATGCAGTTCTCTAATAAGTGATAAAAAATACGATGAACTCATAAAAGAGGTAGAACAAGCAAAGGTCAAATCAAATATAAATACAGGAGACTAAACAGATTTGACATACTCACAATCGGTGAGTTTAAAAAATTAATTGTTCCACCAAGTAAAACCAATGGTGACATTATTTATTTTGTAAAATGCAATGAAATGTTCGATATATTGCACATGGCTCATATAAATTGTGGCCATGGTGGTCGAAACCGAATGGAGAATTCAATAAAACAAAAATACAAAAATATTACCAGGGATATAATTTTATTATATTTACAGTTATGTGAAATATGTAATAAAAAACACGCTCATCCCAAAAAAGGTTTAGTAATAAAACAACCATGTTTGGCCCTTGGGCCCCTAAAGCTCTTGATCCGGGCTTGTCTGTTACAAACAAATTTTTAGAAACTTAAAATGGAGAAGATATTTACTAACATATGTACCCGAAATTTTACCACATTATACAGAGTGATTTTTTTATCGTGAACCAGTACAGAATTTTATTTTTTTTATTAAATGATTTATACATATTATTGACAAATAATAACCCTGGTTCAAATATTTTAATTTTATTTCAGTGGCAATTAGTAGAGTTTATATAATTATACAAAAAATACAGTGAACTATATGACTAGACAGCTCAATTTGACCAGCAATTAAAGCAAATTTACATTACTTGCTACTAGTATCTGATGACTATAAAAGAATAAAATATCCATATTTCTTTACATATATTTTAATCTTTAAACAAACTAAACAATTTATTATGTAAGTATGAATTTTTTTTATAAAATAAATAATTTGATGTTTATCATAATTTTAGCTTATTTTTTAGAAAATTAATTTTGTTTTCTTTCAAATTCCAACTGCAATTAGTAGTACTAACTTTTAATTCAAATATATATATAACAAGATTGGATGAACAGATACAATTTGTTATTTTTTACAATAAAAACAATTCTTTAAAATTATAAAATTATACAATAAAACAAATTTTAACATTTTTATTTAAGTATGATAACGATTGATGAGGATAAAAATATTAAAAAATATTATATTTTTATTAAAATATATATTTACACATAAAATTAAGTTTTGTTCATGTAAACAGTTTTAGTCGGTAGGTATCTGAATTATGAGTATTCATGACCGAGATAGTCACATAAACAAATTTTCCCAATTCTATTTTTAAATACAGTAATATAAAAATATATGACTATTCCCAATAAACACAAACCTGGCTATGACGCTATGTTTCCCCACTTACCATACTATTGGTGGTAAACACGGTCGACGGGCCCCATCGACTGTTAGCTCAAACAAGCAAAAAATAAAAATATTTTTGTAGGTACTAATATAGGTACTATAAAAAGTACAAATTATCACTTAATGTAATTTTAAATCGAGAAAACTATGGGCCCTTAATACACGTGGGCCCCGGGGACTTGGCCCCTCCTGCCCCCCTTAATCCGGGCTTGTGTACAACATAGTATAAATAATTTTATAAAATAATTAATAAATCCACAACAGAGCCAATGTACAGTCAACGCATTGTTATTCACCTTCAACTTTTATGAACAATTTAGAAAGGAAATGTTATATAATATTTAAAAGAATATAACTTGTACACTCTCAAGCAATAATAACTTAACATATTTATTATAAAGATAAAACGATCATAGGTATAAATCATTTAATAAAAATTGTAAAAAAAAAGAATATGCAAGTGGGTCATTCTTAGAATTGTTTTAAATTTGAATTCAATAACATATTATAGTTGTACGCAAGATAAATTCTGAACGGAATCGAATTGCAAGTATATATCACAAAGTGATATGTTCTTTTGATATAGATATTAAAATAATTCGTTTTAATCTAAATAATTTAATAGATTTTTAAATTTAATAAATTTATTATGTTTTTAGTATTAATTATAATAATAATAAAATGTTGTACGTTTAAGTATTAGTTACAATAACAATAAAAATATTGATGTTAAAAATGTAACTACTTTGAGAGGTAATGATAAACAAAAATAAATAAACATCATTATTAAATCAATAAGTCTTCACTCCGTTCAGAACTTTTGACCTTGTGGATAATTTTGAGTAGAAATTTACTGCAAAAACATTAAATTAAAAATTTGTCTTACTTATAAATAGTTCAAAAAAAGCTAAAGTGTCAAAAAAATAATAAAATTTTTTTCTATTTTTAAATTAAAATTAAATTTTGATTTTCTTAATTTTTAATTTTTTTTGTTTTTTTGCTTATAAAGTAAAAAACTAAGAATTTTTCATTTTTACCTCTTCAAAGTACAAACTAGTTATGACAGATTAAAATAAACACATCTTCGTAAAATCATTAAAAATTTAAAATAAATCATTAAGTGCAAAGACAAAAAAAAAATTAATAGATACACCAGTTTTCAAACTCAACGCTTTTTAAAAAAATATTATTTCAAGTGAAATCTTTTAATACTTTTAGTTAAATTCAAAGAGTTTCTGATATCTTTGAGAAATTTTTATTTATTTGAAAGTGAATTAGCTAACCAAAAATACAACACACTATAATATCTATAAGTAAAGACTCAAAATAAATAAAAGGAATCAGTTATGTGATAAAATAATAAACACAAATAGAATGTCTTATATTAAATAAATAAAAATATATTTAACGAACAAAATAAAAAAACAAATTTACCAAGAAATAAAGAATCTAGTTATAAAAAAATATATATAGGTTTAAATTACATTTTATTCTCAATTATTAAGATGAATACTAAGCGTTTTAGTGTTAGATCTAACAAAGAAATATTTTTACTGCTTCGAGAGATAACGACAAACAAAAATAAATAAATATCACTATTAAATAAATAAGTTCCTGCTCCGTTTAAAATCTAAAATTTTTCATTATTTAATTTGGTCATTGCATAGTTTTTATCAATGTAATTATAACAAAACAATGTTAAAAATAACTAAAAATAAAAACCATACAATATTCTTCGATTGAAAATTAAATTAAAGAATCAAGTTTGTGTTTATTGCAACATGCTATCATATTTGGTTAATTAATTCTTTTAAATTTTAACCAAATTCCATGTTTTGGCAACAGTTGGAAAACGTTTTTAGAATATTTTAAAGGAATTTTCATTTTTTCACTCGGTAATACTTCAAATTTAGTTAACATTTCAACAATTGCCAATTTCATTTCCATTTCTGCGAAACGTTTTCCTGGAAAATTAAAATATATATATTATATACATTTGTTTCATTTAAACTTTGTATTAAAAATATACCTATACACATGCGAGGCCCATCACCAAATGGCAGGTAAACACCGTTTGGCCGTTTAGCTTTCTCTTCTGTCGTAAATCTTTCAGGTATAAACTTTTTAGGGTTCGTATAATACTTGCTATCGTAATGCAGTGCATAAACAGGAATTATTATTTTTTGTCCATTTTCAATTACTAATGAATCGTTGGGTACTCGATATGTTTGTGTCGCTTTTCTGAACAATGCAATAAACGTAGGATACATACGTAATGTTTCTAAAAAATATAATGGTCATATTATGTATCCATTATTTTGATTATTTTATAATTTAAAAAACAAAATGAGAATGTGATTTAAATAACTTTCAAATTATAATAGAAAACAAAAAATATTTTATTATTTAAAAAATATTTTTAATACAATTCAATTATTGATCAAAAGTAATAATAAACAAAATCGAATATTATTATTATTGAAAAAAAATAAAATATAAAATTTACCGGCTATAACCATATCCAAGTACTTAAGATCCATCAAAAACACGTAATTGATTTTTCCGTCATTTTTGGATAATTTAAAATGAATCTCTTCGCGTACTCTGTCTTGAATAGATTTGTTTAATGCTAGTTCATATAAACAATAACTTATAGTAGATGTAACTGATTGTAACCCAGCCATAAATAAACCAAAAGCATTTGCTGATACATGTACGTCAGTACATTTTTCTGAAATAAGATTTTAAATTTGAACACATTAATTAATAGTTTTAATTTTAGTATTTACTGTTTTATATATTTGTAATGTAACACTATTGAGTGATTTTTAAATTCTACAACTCTCATTATTAAATGTTACATAAATATTAAATCAAAATTAATCATGGTACTTATGCGATATTATATATATACACGGGTGTCCCCAGATATTTTTCTAGGGGGGAAGGGGGCAAAATTAATTTAAAATATAAATAAAGATTTTTTTATACATTTTATTTATAGAACACTATTATGTTTCGTCAGAATAATATTAAATTATTACAATTAGGAAATAGATTTAAAACTTTAGCGGGGGTCAAGTCCTTGTATTACCTCCCCCTAGGGACGCCCATATATATATATATAATCAGTAATAATTATTTATTTTTAGTAAACTATAAAGGGATTTATTAATAAATAATATCTCACCATGTTCAGGTAAATTTGTATTCAAAACTAAATCCTGTCTTATTTGCATAAAATCTTAAACCCAATCGTTTCAGATTATTTTAATAAAACGAAATTTTAATTTTTTTTTTTTTTTACATTTATTGATTTTTTTAATATTAATATTTTTTTGTATGAGGCACTAATGAGTATCTTTTAAATTCAATGATTGTCGCTACTCAATATTAGGTACTTGAGAATTTAAAATTAAAATAGTACTCAAAATTACTCATTGTACTATTATTATGCGGTATTAAATAGTTAGTAAAAATTATTTATTTTTGATAAATTGAAAAAGATATATAAATAAATAATATCTCACCGTTTTCAGATAAATTTGTATTAAAAATTAGATCTTTTCTAGCTTGCATTATAATTTGAACCAAATCGTTTCTGATTATTTTATTTTCTTCTCTATACGTTATAGTTTCTTTAATAATTTTTTTAAAATAGTCATTTATCTCTTTTGGAAATTCCTTCAATTTTAAAGCTTTCAAAAGTGCTGGGTTGATCATCAAACACATTTGTCCAAAAACCTGTTTAAGTGAATGTTTAAATAGCATTTGAGTGTACTTACAAAATTCGGATTTGTCATCGTTTATGACATTCAAATTAAGTCCAAAAGCGCAAGAGCCGATGACATTGGCTGAATATTTCGTTATGATGTCTTTTACATTAATTTCATTATTGTTTTTAATCAAATTAGTATCAATGTTTTTTATTAATTCATCACCACACTCTTTGATCTGATCATACATTAACTTAAGTTTTCCCGATGTGAAACCAGGTGAAAATTTGTTTCTTAATGTTTTCCATGCAGGATTTCCCATGAAAAATATGTTATTCAAAATAGGATTCACTTCGAAATCCTTGTAGATACCACGGTCGTTGAAGGACGAAAAATCTTTTATTAGCATGTTGTTGATTAGCTCTGGATCACGAACCATCAAATACGGTGTTCTCATCTGATACAGTCCTCCGTATTTATGACCCGAGAATTCATCATAGATATTATTATAAAAAACAAATGGATGGTATTTACCCAAAGCCAGGTTCAACGTGTTACCGAACAACGGAAACGGTTTAAGGTAAGGAACATTTAGGTTTTTCCATTTATTAAACGTCGAAGTAGAAAAATAATAAGCGATCGTCACCACGATGACTAAACACAACGTTACGATATTTTCCGGTATCCATAAATCGATGATGCACGATGAATACGTCATGGCCTAAACTTAATGACATACGATGCTGTACAATGTACACAAACACAATACACTTCACGATTATTTCTCTTAGTATATAATAATGGTAGACTCAATTTATCAATCCGGTTCTGCTTTATATACCCTAGTCAGTTTAAGTTGACCCACTCGCCAAATTAAAAGAAAAACTTTTCGAGTTTGTGAAGTAGTCATAGCGCTAGTGTCCATCGTCGACATACGATTTGTTGAATAATACACTATACATCGTGAATTGTATTAACACGACACATCGTTTCTACATTACTCCAGATAATTGTATATAGAATCTATATACTATAGACTATAGATTCTATGTAAACATGACGATACCAAAAAATATTTAATTTATGTGTTTTTTTTTTTATAGAATGATACTTGATGTTTCAAAAAATAAATAAATAAAACCAAAGCATTAGATATATTCTTTTTAACACTTTGTATGAACGGCGGTTACTGTCATACGGTATGTACCGCTGTGGCCGACTGCTATAATTAATGACGATCGGCGGCATCTACGACAACAGCGACTAATCACAGAGTACCTGTCACCAACCAGAGAAGTGCGTTTGTTTTTACAGCTCTATATGTGTGCAGGACTGCAGGATAGTGCAAGTTCAACTCTTAACTGAATAGAATGAAGATGACTGAAAACGATTTTTAAAACAATAATTTATCACTGGCTGGTAATATTATAATTGTCCACAATTGCAGTTATTTGACTTTTTTTTTTTTTTTTTTTGGGGGGGGGGGGGGGGCTTAGTTCAAAACGCAGTGATAATTTTGGTGGTTATTTCCTTATTCACATTTATGATACTTCTGCAATTTAAACTTTGGTTATAGTTTTAATGTTGTTAAGAACTTAAATAGTCTATACTCTCAATATATCGTTTGGATCAAAAGTAAACTTCCTACTCAAATTCACTTTACTTGTATTTTTGTAATAGTGATCGGGCAGCTAAATTACATTTTTTCAGTAATTAATAAATACAAACAGGCAATAATTTTAAATGTGTATTTTTTATTTGTTAATTAAATAAATTAAAAAAAAAAAAAAATATGAAAATGTTTAGGAAAAAAAATTATAAATTGAAAGTGTTACTAATGGGTAACTGCTTTCCTCAAAAATGTCATGTATTCAAGCCCGGATCAAGCGCTTCAGGGGCGCCCAGGGGCCAATACATGGTTGTGAGCCCCCGTAAATAAAAACAATTCTTTAAAATTATAAAATTATACAATAAAACAAATTTAAACATTTTTATTTAAGTCTAATAACTAAAGAGCAGATTTTTAGGTTCTTAAAAGCTTAAAATATGATGCTAATATGTTCTAAAAAAACCCTAAAATATTCTCTAAATATTCTTTAAACTTGTAAATATGTAGATAATATGATTTGTTTTTTTTCCAAAATAATTCAATTAAAACAATAAATAACTTATGTACCATTCATTTTTGGTAACATATAAAATATTTAACTATAAAAAATACAAAACAGTTCATAGGTTTATGAATATAATGAAATATATTATATAAAAACAAAATAGTTTAATAAAAACAATACATAACTTGTATGGCCTTTAGTAACAGCTAAGTTATTTAACTATAAAATATAAATCAGTACATACTTAGTTACCTTTATAAATATAATGAAATATTAATAAAAAAACAAATAAAATTAATAAAAACAAAATTAGTTCATACTTAGTTACCTACTAAACTATATCACCATCAGTCGTAAATACTGTATCATTTGTTTTATTATACGACTCTATCCACTGTTTATATAAATATTTTAAACTTTTGTTAATTTTCGGTATTTAAAAAAAATAAAAATTAATATTACAAATTTAACTAAATCGTCAGACATTAAAGTTAAAATAATAAACAATATAAAAGTAAAAATAGATTTATTATTAGAAATCATTCTTATCACGTTATTATAAGATCGTAAGTACAATCATAAATTAAGAGTAACAGAATGATCATCATTACCAATTTGATTACAAACAAGTAGATAATTGGATGATTTTTAATTTTTATCATTCTTTTATAAAATAATTTTTTTTCCTAGACAAAATTGTTGCTGGAAAATATCAAAAATCAATAAATTAATAATGTATAATATGATTTTTTATAAACAATAATAGAATATATTCTCTTAAGTCCAAAATATGCATTAATATGCTAAATGAATTTTTTCCTACTAACTCTGTGATGGATAAGTCGTCCACATTTTTCGCTCATAAAGCTGCATAAAACCAATAAAAATATGTAAAAACCTAAAAATCCGCTCTCTAATGATAACGATTGATAAGGATAAAAATATTTAAAAAATATTATATTTTTATTAAAATATATATTTACACATAAAATTAAGTTTTGTTTATGTAAACAGGTTTAGTCGGTAGGTATCTAAATAATTATGAGTATCCATGACCGAGACAGTCACATAAACAAATTTTCCCAATTCTACTTTTAAATACAGTAATATCAAAATATATGCCTATTCTCAACAAACACAAACATGGCTACGACGCTGTTTCCCCACTTACCATATTATTGGTGGTAAACACAGTCGACGGGCCCCATCGACTGTTAGCTTAAACAAAAAAAAATAAAAATATTTTTGTAAGTACTATAAAAAGTACAAATTATCACTTAATGTAATTTTAAACCGAGAAAACTATGGGCCCTTAACACACGTGGGCCCCGGGGACTTGGCCCCTCCTGCCCCCCCTTAATCCGGGCTTGGTAACAGATTTTATACATAAGTAACATTTAATATTGTTTTTTAATTAAAATTATAATTTGATGGATTGTCCCTATTGAAGATTAGGTTTCTTATATTACTAAATATACAATAATAAATAATAATATATATATTCATATTTTCTTTATTATGAATTTTATAAATTAGGTAATTCATAAATTACTAAATCTGATAATAAAAAAAACTTTTTTATACTTAAATTTTTACTAAATTGATACTTGTTATATGTATACAATATAAAAAAATTCAATAACAATAATACTTTGTTGTATTTAAATTGATTTAAGTAGTAATTTTAAGTAAATGATTATCCTAAAAATCAAACTATCATTGGTGATTTTCTTCGTTTCCTTAAATTTCTAAATACTTTACTCGAATTCATAAAAATCATTTTTAAGTCAAAATTATTTGTTTTTCCCAAAACATTTAAATAAATTCCTAGCACAATTAGTAATCCAGCCCAAACATATCTAGAAAAAAATAATATTAAAGTTAATAATTAAATAAGTTTCAGTTTATATTATTTATTAAAATACAAAATATTCTTACTGAAATGTAAATGGCTTTGAGAACAATAAAAATGATATTACTATTGTTACAGCTTTCCGACACGTAGTCACAGTTACAGCAACTAAAGCACCACAAGTTCTAATCAAAGCAAGTACAGCTTGAACTCCAAAAAATCCAGAGAGTGAAAATAAAAATATGTATATATAAGTTACTGGATTCTACTAATAGAAAAAACATTAAACAATAATATACTTAATTTTAAATTAATTTTATATTTCAACCTGAATGCAAAATTCTGTCCCATCTCTTAGTTGTCCACTCACTAATAATATAAATAACAAATAAACAAATCCTACTAAATAGGAATATAAAACAATTTCTGCATTAGATGCATTATGTTTTTTCATCATTTTTTCTTGAAAATTACCTATTAGCGCATCACAAAATAATGCAGAACTTATCAAAATTATACCTAAAATATAAAAAATATAATTTGTTCATTAATATCCTTGCATAAAATATTATGAAATAAAAATATGACTTACCTATAACATTGAAATCTGGAGAAACTTTATTATCAGCTAAAGTAAACAATATTAATCCTGCACACATACACGATGCTGCTACTATATCAATAACTTTATAAACTTTTTGCTGTACTAATATTCCACCAATCATGACTGGTATCAGTTTGCAACATTTAAATATAACTTGTGTTGGGTAATTCAAGTAACCAAGTGAAGCGTTTGAAAACCCCATTGATCCTAATAATATCAGTCCAAGTAAAAGATACAAAACTAATGGTATCCTGAAAACAATTATAAAATTTTTTATTATCTAATAATTAAAATTGAATGTTAACTTTTTTTGACATAGAAATAATGGTTTAGGTTTTCACACATTTTTCATTATTTTTTATTATCTATGATAATTTAATAAGTCTTATGAACAACCATTATAACTTGAACAGTTTATCTTGGAATACAGCAAAACTAATAATTTAAAAAAATAGTGGTCTAAGAAGTATATCATACTTAAAAAATTATCATAACGTTACTCTTTATGTTAGTGATAAGATTAATCAAACCTATGCTATTTTTTTAAATATAATATAGTCTACAGATCACTGTTTAAAAAAAAATTACAATGTTAGCCAAGTGACAAGATAAACTGAAAAGGTTATAATAATATATAATAAATAATAAACAATGAACTTAAGTGAAAAATTTATTTTTAACAAAATTAGTAGGTACACTGTGAATTTTCAAATTATTAAAACTTTTCATTCAATATAAGGAAAAATTATCCTTTAATTATTAAATTTGTGAAAACAGATAGTTCCATAAATTTTGTTTTAGGTTTTGATATTTAAACTTCATATATTTTGGATCTAAATACCTTCGTTGTGTTCGACTGAATCGACTTTCTATTAATCCAAATATTGAATAGTTAAAAAATTGTACCAAAGTTAGGTACCATCCAAATGGCTTAAAACCTTTAATTGCAAATATTGCTTCCTAAAAATAAAATAATATTTAAATAAGTGGACACTGGACATATTCAATAATGTTATAAAATACAATTTACTTGTAAGTATCCATACGGTATAAAAAAAATGAACACAACTAATGAACATATTAAAAACTGCCATAGTTCAGAAAAATGACTGATATCAACCCATAGGAGTTTTCTTGATGATTCTTCCCTTTTACTTGGTAATAATTCTGTATTTCCAGAATCATTAATATTAATTTTGGCTTCCATTCAATTACAAAATGTTGGGCTTTTATAAGTGAGAAAAAAACATTATAAATTCTAAATCTTTTAACATAAAAATTGTTTAGGTAGGTAACAAATGATTACTCTAATTAATAATATAAATAACAGTCAATAGGCAGGTACTAGACAGTATCTCTAATAAAACGTACTTAATCAGACACTATATTAAATAAAAACAAACCATTTAATTTCTTGCACGAGTATTTAAATTTGAATTGTTAACAAATA